TATATATATATATATATATATATATATATATATATATATATATATATAAAACAACAATTTTCACTGTACAGTTAAAAGTTCCATCAATTGATTGAAATCTAAAACAAACAACCGATGTGGACATTGACACAACTTTAGTGTAAGAGAAGTTGTATGCACAATACTTTAAAATATATATGGGTTGGGTTCACGTGACACCAAAGATTTTTCGTGAAACCCGTGAAACCAATTCATATTCATTGATCAACTTTATAAGCTAATGATATAATGGTCTAACATTGCACGGTGACAATTTTGTAATTATTGAGAAGTCTCGTGGCAATTTTGTGATTATAAATGTTGAGATTGTAGATTTAATCCAACGGTTGAGAATTGGTCTTACGGATCTCACGAAAAGCCTTGGTTTCATATGATCTCAAGTCATATATATATATATATATGGGCTTAATCAAATGAGAACTAATTAGTTTGTGGTAACCGTGAGGTCCAATCTCAACCACAAATCAATAGATAAATTAGAAAATTTTTAATTTTGGTATTTTTTTAATTAAAATTTTAATGCAATGRTATTTTAGGTATTTTCTCTCCTCTCTCCTATCTCCTCTCTTCTCTCTCCGTCCCCCGCCTTCGACCACCGTCCTCTGGTGATACCACAGTGGTATCACAATGTATCATATATGTGATTGGGTATCACACTGTGGTCGTTTGTGCGGCCGATCGGATATGTAACACAGTGGTATCACAATGCATCTTATATGTGTTTGAGTATAACATTGTGGTATCACCGGATGATGGTGGCCGGAGGCCAAATGACGGTGGCCGGAAGACGGGGACGGAGAGAGAAGAGAAAATATTTAAAATGTCCTTGCATTAAAATTTTAATTAAAAATTACCAAAATTATAAATTTCCTAATTTATCTATTGATTTGTGGTTGAGATTGGATCTTACCGTTACCCCCAAACTAATCAGTTCTCTCTTAAATGAACCTATATATATATATATATATATATTTCATTATAATTAAACTAGAAAGGAAGTAATAAAAAAAAGAAAGTTACGTAGTTGGACCATCTGTCGTATCCGTTCGAGTATCCAATAAAGTCAGAATACTTTTCCATCTAAAAGAAATGGTGCTCTATTTATTAGATTGGACCATCAGTATCCGGTTTCACACTCTACACCCGCACTAATCAGTAAATGTAGAAAGAGACAAATCATATAAATAAATATAGAAAGAGACTACATTACATCATCATCATCATTATTATTATTATTATTATTATTATTATTATTATTATTATTATTATAATGTTTGATGAGATATAAGTATGCCAAAATGAGTCAACTCTTTGTTTATACTTTTTAGTTGCTCATAAAACCAGAAGTTTTTGACGATTCCTTCGTGTCTTGGCTACTAATTAATTATAACTCCATTGGAGTTTCTTACCCTCTGTAACTCCTCTATCAGTTCATTCAATGTCCTCCAAGACGACCCCCCTTCTGCCATGGCTTTCTTTGCACCCTCACCAATCTCCTCAACTTTCTTCCTCACTTCTTTGCCATTTTCTCCTTCCATGAGCTCCTTCACCATCTTTTTTAACCCATCTGGCTTCACAAACCCTCTCACAGACCCATCGCACGTCTCCACCCTTAGACCCACCTTAATCTCCTCCACCACCATCCTTGCATTTAGGTGTTGTTCCGCCATCATGGGCCATGCCAGTATTGGCACCTTCCAACATATACTCTCCAACACCGAGTTCCAACCACAGTGGCTCACAAACCCTTTCACGCTCCCATGCTTCAGAATCTCCATTTGCTCCACCCATTCTCTTACAACCATCCCTCTTTCGCCCACTCTTTCTTCAAGATCCTTCATAACAACACTCGTCTCCTCGTCATTCTTCCTCACCACCCACAAGAAATTCACTTCGGATTCTTCCAAACCTTTTGCTATTGCTTCCAACTGTTGTCTTGATATCTCTGCTTGAGAACCGAATGCTACGTATAACACGGAGCATTCTTGAGCTAGCTTTTGGTCTAGCCACTCCATCCATTTGGGCTGGTTTGCACCAGGGTCAACCTTTGGTGGTGGGTCGGCCAAGCACAGGGGTCCCACGCACCAAACTTTGGGCTTTGGGTCGCGATTTAAGTAGTCTACAAACAGTGGTTCTAGCTCGTAGAAGCTGTTAGAAATGAGGCCATAGCTATTCGCTGTTGTTATGCCCGTCTCCATTATAAAGTCGAGGTGAGGACCTGATGGAACCCGCTGATTAAGAGGCTCGTCATAGTCATTTCTGGTGATCTTGATCCAGGGAAACCCGGTAACGGTGATTAAGTCATCATCGGACTTAGGTCCAGATAAGAGCCGGTTTAAATAAACTTGGTGACCCACGGCACCTGTATAGTTGTTGGTACCAAAAAAGGAGAGGCGAGGGATCCCAAACTTATTTGCAGACTCAAGCGTCCAACTAAGAAACCCATCAGAAACGATGGCGGTGACACATGAGAGTTTGTGGAGTGCTTGTTCAAAGTGTGGCTGCATGAGCTTGGTTGCAGCGGCAAATGAAGGGAAGAGAGACATAGAAGGGAGCTTATCGGTGCTCTCTATTCCTGGAGGTAGTCCTTCAACCTGATCAGTAGGAAAAGGCAGGTCTATGATATTAGAATCATGGGAGCTCCAGTCAAGAAACTGAGCAATGAAAGGTCTGTTGGCATTGGTGGTGATAACAGTGACCGTAATCCGACGATGCAAGAGAAGATGAGATAGATGGAGCAGTGGGATGGTGTGGCCTTTGGACATGAAGGGAAAGATGACAATATGGGGTGGATGGCCATGGTTTGTGGAAGGAAGAGGAAGTGAGGATGAAGCCATTAATTAATATTTGCAGGTATAGCAAGCAATATGAGTTATGAAGAATGAGGTAGGTCTGGACGTCTGGTGGTAATTAAACGGAGCAAGGGGGGATGAGTAGAAAGACGCGTGGAGAGATGGAAGGATATATAGAGACCTCTGTGGATGCTTGCTTTTGATGAGATAAATCAGCCATATATATATATATACACACATATATATGTATGTATGTATGTATGTATGTATGTATGTATAAAGATTGATGGCGCATGCAAACTTGGTAAGGTGCCAACTGGTACCACCTCCTACTCTTTGTATTTGTGTTTATATTTAGAAGCTTTCTAACCCAACGCATGTAGTCGACCAATCTTGTGACCAAGATAACACGACATTAGTTTGGTTTATTTGAAGTTGTAGACGATTAATTAATTAAGAATAGAATGAAAGAAGAAATTAAGAATAGGGGTTTAGAGAGTAACAAGCATTGCGATTTGTGAACGAGGATGATCAATGGGTGGTCACACCCATTTACATTATTGTCAAAAGTTTTGATTCTCTTTTCATCATAAGGTTTGAATATGATATGAAAAAGTATATAAGTTACCATCAACTTTTTTTTGTATATATTTATTAATGTAACAAATAAAATAATCTGTGATATTCATCTACACCAAACTTTCATGTATATATTGTGATGAATTTTTTATTTATATATGACATGACTTTTTTAAATATTTATCGGTTGTTGAATTTGAGATGTTTTTTTGGACCATTCATATAAAGACATGGTACATACATTCACGAGACCCGTATTTAATTGGCTCACTCAATTCAATCGTGAAGGGAACCGTTGGAATTCTATGTAAGATTTATTTGGTTTATGTGAAACATTGAGAGGACAGGCATTTGATTAATTGTTTGTTTCAAATTTTGTTCAAAAATCTCAATAGAGTTCTGAATTCCATTAGATTCATCTTCATTTCCTCCATCAATAAAGTTTCCAATTTCTATCGACATAAATTCCATTAACCTTAATAATGATTAATAATAATAATAGGTATTTGTTTTCTTCTTTTATTTATCCCTTTTTATCTATTTATAAATATTAGCATTTTCATTTTCATTTTATGTTTTTGTATTTTTTAATAAATTCAATATAGTACAAATCATCCACTATTTACGGAGAGTACATGTAGCTTATAAATGTAAAGGACCATGGATCATATTTCAGGTCGTGCGACGTCCTGGTGCTTCTGTGTATGTCAACTGAAGTACAATTCATATTAAGAGTTCTAAATATGTTCTCAAAATTCTAACCAAATTGACTAAAAAACACCTAATTATCTCATTTGTTTCACAACTGAACTCAAATTATAAATATCATTTCATAATAAGAGAGACAATTTTTATCATACAACCCAACTAGAGGTGATCATTTACGGGCTTAACTTGTTTTTTTGTCCAATGAGCTTAATATTGTAAACCCAAGCTTTTTTTCAGACTTGACAACTTATCGTTGTCCGCCCTATAAACGGGCCGGACTTGCCATTTCCCCCCCTTAATATGTAACTCTTAATTAACAAATGTGGAACCAAAAAGTAAAGAAAAGACACCGTTGCAATTAAAACTTTAAGCAACTACGGACTCTATCTATTGTTGATTTGATTAGGACTTTCGACATAAAGATGCTAATAAATATATGTAGAGCCTTTTGGGTTCTCAAGAAAAAGCAAAGAATCCTAACTTCCATCCTATAAGTTTAATAATTTAATTTTAAAATATATTAGTATAATTTAATTAATTGTAAAACATAAATGGGTTGGGCGGCCCTGTTCATATTTATTTTTACATTGTCCATGTTCATCTGTTAATTTTAATGAACAAACTCAATCACATCAATTTTTTTGATAATGGTTTTCCAAGCCTGTATTTCTAACGGGTCGAATGTACCGAATCTAAAGGGTCGTCCCACCATGATGAACCTTATAATTTTTTGGTTTGTTGTTTAACAATTTTAAAAAAATAATAACCTCTAAAATCAAGGATTCATACAGATGTAAATTTAATCCATTCAAATTAAAATTCTGATATGATTGGCGTTGTAAACTATAACACTTTTAAAATTGAAAAGAAGTTAAAAGATAAAAAGGTAAAATATTAATTTTTTTATTATATAACTAGTTGTGTATCCGTGCAATGCGATGAGAGCCATGAATTTTAACGATTTTGAAGTTCCAATGGTTTTATAAGATAAGATTTAACGATGATATATGTTACACTTGGTCTTTACATATTAATACAATTTGAATAAATAAGAGTTATGGTTCCAATTACAGACTATCGATGAAAAAAATTGTATGACAGTTTAAAATCCAATATATTTAAAATCCAACATATTTAAACGACTCTACAAATGTATTCGATTTACACTAAGAGCAAAGAACCAAGAAACTTGAGTTTTAAGATAAACACTCAAAACCAATAAAAAAACCTACAAATTTGACAGATCATAAGCCATGAAAAGACAAAAAAAAATGAGTTTTAGAATGAAATTTCAACTGTTTACCCTCTTTCTTGTCCAAATTCTCAGATTAAGGTTGAATTAATACATGTATATATATATATTTTAAAAAAATCCAAGAACATATTAATTCAAAACATATTATACAGTGCAATTTGGACAGCCTAACCCCAAAATATATAGTACATATATAAATAAATAACTATAAAAATATAAATCGTAAATATTAAAAATATTTTTTCACAGTATATATAATATATAATTAAGTCAAAAACTATTCAATATTGGACTCATTTCGAAGGTATTAGCGAGACGATTATAATGGTGTAACTTGTTAAAATAAAAATGTATTTTTTTAAACATGTTTTAATTGATATACGATTATGTATGTTAATTTGATAAATGTTTAAAATAAAACATTTAAAAGTAAATGATGTAAGGTAAATTAATTAATTAATTATAGGGGTATAAAGTATAAATTTTAAAATTATAATTTTAAAAAAATCGGTTGTGAGAGGGTGAGTGCATGTGAGAGGGTGAGTGTATGTGAGGAGATGAGGGGGTGAAAAAATGAAAAAGAGAAAAAGTGAAAAAGTAAGTATAAAGGGTATTTTGGTCATTTACTATTTTAAAATTTTTGCTAAATTTGCTTAATAAGATAGTATAGATATTAAATTGTTTACCACAAGAAACATCATTTTTTTAGTAAGAGTATTAAGGGGCCGTTTACCAAACGCTTACCCAAGTAAGTCTTGCCAAGTAACATTACATCACCGGATGAATATGATAAGTATCAAGAATCTTACTCGGTAAGAGCGAAACAAAAACCAAGAGTCTTACCCGGTAAGTGAGGGCGACGATTCTTACTACGGTAAGCACTTACCGGGTAAATTATTTAATGTGATGTCGTTTTGGTGGACTAAAATCTTACCCGCCAAGTAAATAATAGTGTTAAATCTAACCGGTAAGCACTTACCGGGTAAATGTTTGGTAAACGACCTATAAATTATATAATATTAAAAGAATTCTTTTAATCAATTATTTTTTTAATTCATGAATATTGTAGCAATAACTTTGTTTCATTTTTTTCCTTCAAAAAACAGATACATTTGCCTATTGAATATTGTTGCAGATCACTAAGCCTTTATTATTTCAATTATTGTTGCTTTAGTTAGATGACATTGAAGAACCTCTACATACCAAGGACTGTTTACCCAAACAATTAATTCGGTAAGCGTTTGCCTATTAGATTCAAACATTATCACTTGCCTTATCGGATAAAATTTTAGTCCATCAAAACGACATTTTATGCAAAAATTTACCCTAAGCGCTAACGGGGTAAGATTCATCACTCTCATTTACCGGGTAAGACTCTTATATTAGTAATGCTTAAAGAAACTGATATTATATCATTTTCTATGTGTGCAATCACTGCATATTACATGTCTGAACTGATGCTGCGTATATAAAACTTCATATTTTCCATTTCATAGATGGAGAATTTTCACTTTGGCCTTTTAAATTAGAATTGTATTGCCTTACCAATATGGAGGTTGGACAGCCACATGGGAAGGAATAATCGGTGGAAGAATCACATTTGGTAAGCGGGTTTTGACATCACCTTGGATGGTCCTTGTTTTCGTATTATATATATTCAAGGAAATAGCAAAGCAAGCTTAATTGCGAGATGGGCTTTGCAAACACTTTACGAAGCTATTTGATGAATTGACATGATCATGCTCTTATTATATCCAATGCTTAAACAAATGCACATGTAAAGTAACCAATTGATAATAAATTTAGTTTTCTATACATTACATTATAAAAGTGAAGGATTATTAAAATTTAACATTCATAATATGTAAAAAAAAAAAACACTTATATGAAGGGAATTATTTGTTGATATTGGTGGGTTAAAATCCCACTTGTGAGAAATTAAAATCGTTGAGATTTTTCTAACCCACCTTGATTTCATATTGAGGACATTGGGATTAAGAAGACTGATTTTTACTCATGGATTTGGTCGGTAAGCTGTTAGTTTACTGTCAATTTTCCAACCATGATATGAAAGAACTTTTTTTTTTTTTTGAACATCTTTATTTCAAATGTTATCTTCTAACTTTATCACTACTTGCCAGATTCTACATTTCTACTTCAAGAGGTTTCACGCCAAGTTGTAGAGAAGTAGAGTTATGGATATCTCAGTATTGTTTATTGTTTATCATTTTGTATAATTTGTGCTTTCTTTGATCTCCTATTTTTTTTTATGTTTTGGTTTATCCATGCAAAAAAAAAACAGAGTACCTTCTTGTTTTAGGCATCAAATTAAATTATCCTAAGTTGTTGACTTTGTTTGGATGACACGGTTTCAAGGAAGTTTTCAGTATTTAGTTGCAGTTGGATTTGATAATCATGCAAGTGATTATTCTATGTTTATGTATTTAATGTGTTTTAATATTATTGGTTTATTTCAATTGTTATCTTTTGTTTTAGAAATGTGCTTTATTTTTTATCTCTTAATTTTTTTCATC